CAATTTCCGTGTAAATATCTCCCAAGCTTCTAGCTACTTTACGCTGGGCCGCACGTAAGCCCCATCGCGCATTTTTGCAGGTGCAGCATTCATGAGGCTGAAAGAGCATTCCACGTTCGAGTGGTTGGCTTGCACACTGACTGGCCAACGGACGTCCGGGAACCCCAAAAGCTGGCGCCTGGGAGAACTCCGGGGAACCCTCGGTACCGGCCGCCACCGGCCGTACCGGACACGTGCTGACGCACCGCTACCTGACATACCAGAAAGCGTGTCAGCGGCTGCCTCGTGCCACTCGGTACTGAAGTACTGAAGTACTGAAGTACAGTATTGAAGTCTCAGTCGAGTTGATAAGTAGCAGCGAGGACAACGGTGACAGCGAAGACGCCGGCTCGGAAAGGGGTGGGGCTCGCTGCAGATGGTCATGCTCACCGTGGATGGTACTCTGCAGGCAAATCAAACGCGATATCAGCAAAGCATGTATCATCTAGAGAAGGGTAGTATGGAGATGTGATTCGAGCGTGGCCCGTTGCCACGGCCGTAAGCTGATGGTCCTCTGTCGTGCGATGCGGTCTCGATGGTCTCCAGCCTCTTTTGTCTCCCCTGGACTCTCCTCTGGCATGCTTTTAAGATGCGGCTTGCTGCACAGAGCTGAGGGATGGAATGTAGCATTCGATTTTAGGTCGTCGTGTCCTGGATGACGTGAGCCCCCTTATCCCCTTCCTTGAAGACGACTCTGCGCAAAAATGTTTAGCTTACTTCTTCTACCTCCACATGCACGACTATTCCTCTGCGCTATCTAATCACAACACCGCTGGGCCCGCATGAGTTTGAGGCTATTTGTTCTGCGCCCCTTTTGCAAAACCTGAACAAGCCCTTGTCACCACATGCACCAGTTGCTTTATTAAAAGCCAAACGTTTTGTCGAAAAGGTCTGAAGTGCGCACATATGCCTATAGATGCAGAGAAACATTGCTTATATACCTACGTTGGTGGTCCGTAATGTCTCACACTATTTGGTTCACTTTTTGGCTTTAGGGCTCACTCTTGTCTGTGCTCCGTAACCAACTCTGCTATGCTGCTTTTCATGTTCAAGCAGCCATATCACGAGAGTTCCCCCCCCCTCGCCCAATACCGGGCTCTGGAACAGCCACTACGCATGTCATTTGTCCAACATCTTGGCACAGAACGTCAAAAAGACATTGACACATAGCCAAAAATTTACAACGACCCACTAAAAATCGCTAAAAACGAACAAGAAACCAGAAAAACAAAATCCTCGTCTCTCTCCCCCAGCCGGCATAAGACAAAGTATATTTTTGTAGTTTTTTCGTCGTTATCTGTTGTTTGTTTGATAGCCTTAACATTCTAAATGGGTAATATAATGGATGAGGGCATTACACGCGAGGTTTTGCCGGTGTGACCTGATCTGAAATGTGTGACGCATTTTTTCATGCATATAATATGATTTTGCTACATATTATGAAAGTCCAGTGATATGTTTCTCTTAGTGTTTGTTCCAATGTGTCAATAGCTCCACAATGCTACTGCCTTTACTGTTCACAATTTAATTGGCATATGATGAGAACAATGACGATGCTTCACCCATTAATCTGCTTGGTTTAACCCGCCACTTAACCGTTACGTTAACCTACCACTTGCACTTGCACTTTGGTCCAAATGATCACGAAAGCCGGTACAACCATGTAGTGACATTGCGGTTTGGCACGAGTGATTACATGCCGCTTCGCGCTCGGCTCCATTATGGCGTTTTTTGTCTTGACCGTTTAGAAACCTGCACGCTGGTAATGGAATTTTGATCCAGAAATAGCAGTCCCACGGCACGTTTTAGGCACTGGATGCGGTTTGATTACAAATTCAAATCAAATAAAAAAGCGTCAAATCCTTGTAGTGTATTTGCGGTACGCAGCTCCACTGTCACAGCTAGTTGATGGAAAGGCTGTTTTTTATTTAATTAAATCTACATATCATCACTGGATTGGCAACAAACCCGAACATGCCAGTTTTAAAGACATGGCTCGCTGAAACCTGTAAGCCTGTACAAATTCTGCACATTGATTTGAATTGTCTTGCGTGCAACAGCCTGACTAGTATTCACTAATATCTTCAAGGCAAAAGTTTGCCCAATGTTTCATCACCTTTCACCATAACCTGCACCCTTAAGCAAAAGTGTCGTCCGTCAGTGAATGGTATGTTTTCGTTACAAGCTAGGCTGATAGTTCTGCTCCACCGGGCCAGCCGGCACCATTTTCCGGACTTGAGCTTTGAGGGCGCTTGGTCCAGCGACAAATTACGTCGGAGAGAGTTCCCTGTGCCTCCATGGTCTAAGCGAACCCCGCTTCGTGCCTCTGATCTCTACTGTGCTTCGCCCAGTGGAAGGTCATTTCAATGACGGCAGCCCGGCCTATGTATGCATGTACATGTGTAGCGTGTCGCTTAGCGGTTATCGCAGGCTACTTACTGCTCGGATGTCCTCCGGATAAGAGGACGTGTAATCACATCAGCAGCTTGCGAAGCTGGACGATTATAATAAACTGCCCCGCTCCTTGCGGGAGCGGCACGGTTGTTGCCAACTTTGCTGCCAACTCTTACGCCAGAAGATGGGCTATGCTAGATATATCTATCACTTGATATAGGCCAGAAAGGCCTTGAGCTCCTGGCTTTTCCATTATGAGTATGGAGTTATGATCCTGACAATAATCAGCCTTCACTTTACCAGGAGGCTCGGCGACGTCATCAGACATACATTGGTTATATTGTTAAAACTCGATATAACGAAGTCTCCGTGCGTCCTCCGTGCACGGACAATCTAACCAATGTCTGTTCGATATTATCATTCAACCAGTACGTTGAATGATATTTGCATCCAACCAGTATGCCAACCAACGTACGTTGAGGGCTGAGTGCTGTTTATGTGAGAACTTAAAACCCACAATTCCCTGTTAGGAATGATCCTGGAACCAATCACAGTGGATTGCTTGCTCACGGGACTGGCGCTACGTACGTCGGTAAAATCAAAGCGTTAGCTTGCTTTACCTGAACTCTGCAATGCATGCGAGATTTTAGCAGCCACAAGTTTTTAATGGTTGTTAGTGCGGACATAACGAACTGTTAAATGTCATCACTTCTTGACCCCTAGCTCAGCCGCAGTCGCGATAGCACCCGCGGACAGCGTGATGCATGGCAAATGCATCCATATTATTATACCTTGACTGCCTTGATTATATCATATATACTTTGATTGCCTGTTTTCAGCACAGACCGGGCCAGCTTTAGTGCTGGGGAACAACTAGAAGTGTGTGACTTTCTGCAGCACACTGTGACACTTTCCTACAAAGTATGCTCATAATAACTGGCTATATTGGTTTATGTCTGATATAATGGTTTTGTCTGATTTTAGGTCAAAGATCATAGTTTTTAACTGGCCTAGCTTGGAATGATCTTGGAGCTACTCACAGAAGCCTGCTTGCTTGCGGTTCGTGGGACAGGCACTACGTACGTCCACAAGATCAAAGTGTTATCTCGCTTCACCTGAACTCTACAATGCATGCAAGATTTTGGCAGCCTCAAGTTTTTGGTGGTTGTTAGTGCCGAGATAGCAGGCTGCTAAATGTCAAGCGTGGTGACCAGTGCGCGATAACCCTGTATGGTTCTTACCCACGTTGGCCACCGAAGGTGACTGCTTTTCAGGCAGCAGTAAGTATTACTGTTTACCGGTAGGACACATTACGTCAGCTGGACACTACTGGAGTGGCCACGCTTCTCTACCAGAGGGATTAGCGTTTTGATGCACTGAGGTTAGCCGTTTGATTCGGACCACAGCCATTTCGGCCAATTCTGATCATTCCAGACCTGTGGAATGAATGAGAGTGGACTGCGGTGGGACAGGACTAAATGCATCTGGGGTTCCTCCACGACCGAGACTGACCCTGCACAGGATCTGTGCGGAACGCTCGGGCGGGACGCCTTCTAGTGGTTCACATGAGCCCTCTCATGGTTGATGCCAGCAACTGGCTCCGGGTACGCAACAGGTCGTGGGGGATGCAGGATGAGAAGCGGGAACCAGGAAAGGATAGTGGATGCACGGAGGTGCCTTTAGCCGGAGCCGGTGCTCGCACACGGCGGCACCACGCGTGGCTGACCGGATCGGTCCCAGTTCCGTCCGCCTCCTCGGATGCGACGAGCGCGCGTTGCCCAACGTGCCGCCACGTGCAGAGCTCGGCCCGGCTGACTGCCAGCGCCGCCTCATTGTCACGACCTTCCATTCTATTCTATTCCGTCCCCAGTGCAGTTATGCAACGTCCGGCGGCCTGCGCTCTGCGGGCTACTCACCCCGCCCCCAGGTGTCGCCGAAGCCGGTCCGTCGGGTCAGCCCTGCATCTCCCGGCCGCCACCACTGTCAGTGATGGCGGTGCCGAACGACGCGATGGTCGGATGGCCTGATAGCTGACGCATATTTATTGACTGCATGTCTCAGTATGCATGTTATGCTGAGATACATGATACATGTGTCTAGATGCATCTAAGCATTCCCTGGGAAATGAAAATGTGTGGGAATGATGCAATGGTTGTCCCGGAATTACATGACAATGCACGGTACTCGTGCAGCAGTTGGACACTAGACGATTCGGATGCGCTTAACTGCCGATTTTCTCTGCGTTAGGTGTCATTTGTTCATGCAAATCCTGTGTTCGCCCATTCTACGTCTTGTTGAAACAACTATTTAGCTCAAGAATGAACTGTCGCGCATCACGTTTCTCGCTGCGATGAGCGTTGTAGTTAAAGGGGCTGCTGCATTCCTCCTGCCTTACCAGCCAGGTGTGATGGATGGACTCCTGTATCCCGCCAACCAATCCACACCCAGAAAAAAACAGCCAGCCGCTGCATGGGACATCAGTGGAACGAGCGCTGCCTGTGGAGCTGCTCTCGGGCGCTCCCTTCGGCATGCGCGCCCAGCGGCGTGACCAGCGCCGCGTGTTTCAGATGGCGGCACCGCTGCGCGAGTGGGTGTGCTGGACGCTGCTGGCGCTGGCCTCGGCGCGCCTGCTGTTGCCGGACGTGACACTCAGCGCCGAGCAGCTCCTGACGCTGGGCTGGCGGACGGCCCTGCCGCTGGCTGCCTGCTTGCTGCTCTACAAAGCACTGGTCATCTACTCCGTACCTATGAACCACGTGATGGTGAGTCGCGGTCAGAGGAGGCAGGTTCAGTGGTCCACCGGGGCCCAGTTCGCAGCTGCTGGGCCTGCAGTACACAGTCTCGCCGTGCTGGGCCGCTGGTCCTGGGCACCGCCCGACAGAGCCAGGCCGGGGGCCGCCTGACCGAACTGGCTCTGGGCAACACCCGACCGAGCCAGGCCGGGGGCCGCCTGACCGAACTGGCTCTGGGCACCGCCCGACCGAGCCAGGCCGGGGGCCGCCTGACCGAACTGGCTCTGGGCAACACCCGACAGAGCCAGGCCGGGGACCGCCCGACTTAGCTGGTCCTGGGCCCGTCCGACCGAGCCAGGTCGGGAGCCGCCGACCGAGCTGGCCCGGGGCACCACCCGACCGTGCTGGCCCGGGGCCCAGCCTGACCGAGCCAGGCTGGGCACCGCCCGACCGAGCTGGCCTGGGGCACCGCCCGACCGAGCCAGGCCGGGGCCCACCCGACCAAGCTGGTCCTGGGCACCACCCGACCGAGCTGGCCCGGGCCCGCCCGACCGAGCTGGCCCGGGGCACCATTCGACCGAGCTGGCCCGGGCCCGCCCGACCGAGCTGGCCCGGGGCACCATTCGTACCGAGCTGGCCCGGGGCACCACCCGATCGAGCTGATCGCCCGACCCCGCCAGCGTGACGTCCGTAACTTCGCCGCCGTCTCGTCCAAGTCTGGCCCCAGGCAAGGGCATGGCGTAGAAGGACGAGAGGTATAAATGTACCTTCGGCCGACGGCCCAGTGTCGTAAGGGCTCGTAGATGGCGTCACACATCGACCAACCAATGCGCAAGTCCGCTGGACATGAGCAATAACATGTGGTTGGTGTCGGTGCATCATACAGACGTGCCGTCTGGCGCAATGCCTCGTCCATGACGATGGGCCACTTGCTCTGGCACATGTACATGTGAGTGGGTAAGCGTGTCATGACGATAAAGCTGAGTGCGTGAGGCATCTTATCTTGGCGCAATCTCTCACACGACAGAGCGGAAGCTATTTGCGACCAAAACTGGTTGGCTTGCGCGGCAGAATAAAGCAATACTAAAAGTTAGTGATCTTGTCTGTTTCGCGCCATTGCATATTGGCAACAGTAGCAGCTTTGCCTAAGCAAAAGAAGAGTTCATAGCGGAACCTGTGGCAATGAAAATATACATCGTCGTTTTAAATGTGATGTAACGCATTTCAACCAGATGTGCAGTGCTTAGTTGAGCAAAATTCAAGTCCAAGGCGTCAGACCTATGTGTCAGCTCATGGTGTCCACTTATCTTTTCATGTCCTACCCACAGGGGCCGCATTCTTTGGGACCGGTCCGTGACGAAAGCACCAAAAACCTTTGGAATCGTCAACGTGCCACCAAGAATCACGTGAACCAAGTGCGCCAGCGACAGAAGAACGCGAGGATGCCGCCACCGTACCCGAACGCCTGGTTCATGGCGATGGAGAGCCGGGATCTGCGGGCCAGGCGAGGTCCGACCGCTCGACATTCTGGGTAAGTCTGCCGAGCTCCGTTCCCCTCTGTGTCTGGGCTGCCGGCGGCGATTCCGAACGGCGCCCCATTTCGGGCTCGTTCCGCCTCCATCCGGCCCGCTGGGGAAGACTCGTCCACGAGCGGGCCGCGCCGGTCCGCTCCTTCCTCCGCGGCCGGCTGCCCTCGGCGGACCCGCTTCCGGATTGCGTGTGCGTCGTTTTGCAATCGGGTCCAACGTGTAAGGGCTGGCGGCGGCCGCAGACGACTCCTTATCTAGCCGCCATCGCAAGGCCGGACGCCACGGCCAATGTCAGCCCGGTGAGGGCCGCTGTCGACCTGCTGACAGGCGCGTCCGACCTTCCGCCTGCGCACCCACTGGCAGCGGTCCTCGGGATCAGAGCGCCCCGCCTCGCCTCCCGTCTCTGAAGTCTGGGCTCGGTGCGGCGCTCCGCTGTCAGTCCAGTCAGCGACAGCGGCGCTCCGCTCGCGGTTCAGTCAGCTGCAGTGACGCTCCGCTTGCGGTCCAGTCAACGACAGCGGCGCCCCGCTGCCAGTCCAGTCAGCGGCAGCGGCACACCGCTCTCAGTCCAGCCTGATAGCGATCTGTGGGCGCCAAGGCAATGCAAAGCTCGAGAAGCCGCGTTTGTTGGTCAGCTGTCGGAAACGTAAGAACCTAAGAGAAAGAGAAGAGAGAGAAAGAGAGAGAGAGAGAGAGAGAGAGAGAGAGAGAGAGAGAGAGAGAGAGAGAGAGAGAGAGAGAGAGAAAGAGAGAGAGAGAGAGAGAGAGAGAGAGAGAGAGAGAGAGAGAGAGAGAGAGAGAGAGAGAGAGAGAGAGAGAGAGAGAGAGAGAGAGAGAGAGAGAGAGAGAGAGAGAGAGAGAGAGAGAGAGAGAGAGAGAGAGAGAGAGAGAGAGAGAGAGAGAGAGAGAGAGAGAGAGAGAGAGAGAGAGAGAGAGAGAGAGAGAGAGAGAGAGAGAGAGAGAGAGAGAGAGAGAGAGAGAGAGAGAGAGAGAGAGAGAATTTAATGATGACGTTGGCAGTTGGGTGGGTTTCATGCTGCGATTGTAGGCGAGATCGAGAACTGTGCCAGGCACATTGCTACTTGTCAGCTTTCCTGGCTTGGAAGACCGTGTTTGAAATTATAGATATCAACGTATGCTGCAATATTGTATTGCCTCCATGCCACGTCACGGTAAAGATGCAAGTTCGCCAGTTTTGCATTCCTGCACGTATGCACAAACATGCGTTATACGTGTTCCATGTGACGTAGTGGCATACAGCAACTCCTGTTTTTTTGGAAATTTGGTCGAGTGGTGACTGCTATTTAACCCTCACCATGCAAGGCGGGATGGGACCCTAACGCCCCCAATGTTTTTTCAGAATAAGTTTTGAATGCAACTGTGCTGAAATTTCGTTTACCCTAGTTTATAAGGTTGTTAGATACGTTGTAAACGTTTAAGTTTTCTAATGTCGGTAATCTATGTTCTTTGACCTGTTTCTGGAAGTCAAGTGGGTGACATGTTTCTGATAAGCGACAAATAAAGTCCATTTCTTGCAAGAAAAGGCACTCCAAAGATGTTTTTGGATTCCAGTTCTTATTCATATCACTTTGAAGAACACCAACATCATTTTGTGTACTTTCCGAGCCCAGGTCATTAGGTAAAATGAGGTCAAGGTCACGCCAAGCCACACTTCGACTTTTTGCAACCAGATTCCACCGTTTTAACGTCATAAGGTTGAAAACTTAGTGGCAGCTACCCTATGGTTTGAGAAGGCGTTTCTAGCTATTTTATCCGCTAGACTATGATGAGACCTTCTTTATTCGGGGCATAGCCGCATGGGCCAATCCAACAATCGTCTTCATCTCTGTGACGTCATACGACATCACGGGTCGCATGTGGGGATATCCAATGGCAACTATCTGATAAAGTTTTCAAAGTGCTATTTCATATTGCCTTTCACGTTGTTGTAGCATAACTAGTTTTTGTTCTTGCTAATTAGCTCTTGAGATAACAGAAGAGGTCCACAAAATGCTATCTGCTCCTTTTGTCCTGGAGTGACCTATCACAGGTCACATCAACCACCATTCAGACATACGTTCCCTATGCAGTTGGACGAAGTTTTCCACTGTTCAGCGGCTTTAGCTTTCGCGATCACCAAA